TAATTCGGATGTTTAGAGGGGTTTAATTATTTTAATTGTTTTTTTTATCTCGTATATTTTGTCTGTTTGTATTTAATTTAATATTTATTTATTTTATTTTTGACTTTTATGCATGCATGCTATTAATAAAAAAATAAAAAATATATAAAATAATAATAAATTTTCTCGGCGAAGTCTCCTCTTGGTAGGAATCGTTGTTTCGTGGCGAGGTCTCCTATCCGATAGGGACCTTCGTCACCAAAAATCATAATTTAATAATCGAGTGTCCTCCGATGCACCGATTGTGTCAAGGCTTTAAGTGGATCCGATGTTTGAACCGACGTGTCGCCCGATGAAGGGGACCGACGATCGCTTCAATACGATGCCACGCTCAAAATTAAAAATCAAATTTTGCTAAAATAATTGTTTAAAAATTAGAAAATAAATTGGCATAAATGAACAATGTAGGAGATAAATTTAGGACTAGAACAAGATGTGGTACCTTTATTCGGAAAGGGCACTTTTAGGATGAATAATTATCTTCCTAAAAGTGTAACCAACTGCTTACCATAGAATCTCTAGACTAGTGTTATTTTTAGGTTCCTAGTTCCTTAATACTAGGTGGCAACTCCAAAGCTCGTAAATAAACTTGTAAATATTAATCACATTTAGCATTTTAATTTTAGGAGTCCCGTCCGATGTCGGGTAACGACAATCTTGATCTTTCAAATAATAGGATGCGGACCTTAAGTTTTTTATTTTTTTTAATCAAATTTGAGATTTCTACTCTTATTTTATTGTTGTTTCGGACCTAACTAATAACGGTTTGCTACGTGTGCTTACATATCTTGATTTGCACGGTTTCAAGGTTCTTGATTAGGTCATCGTTTTCTTACAAAATGAAGTTTCTTTCAACGTATCCTTCGGTTTGATGCTTGTGCAAACTTGATATTGTGCTTGTGATATGTATAATGTCGGACGAACCCTTCCCTTTGATTAGTTGTCAAGAATCTCTGCGTCGAAGTTTCTTTATTCTCTCGCAGCATGTTATTATACTTTCATTGAGATTAAATTACATTTTATAGATTCCTTACATTCTTGTTTGCGGAATTCCAAATACGGCTATTGATCTTAGAGCTGATTATGTATTTGCTACCCATGAGACATTTATCGAAGTGCATATTTGTGCTCCGAAGTTGATTGGTGTGTGAACTTTTTCCAATTGAAGTTGGACCGTGATGCTTCGATTCTGCCTTGGATGGTATGTAGAACCATCCGTGAACACTCCTCCGCCTAGTGGATTAGATGGATACCACACATTCACATCAAACCAAGTAGGAGTCTCCTTAAAAAAAATGTTTTGCGCACGGATGGATTTCGACAACGACTCAAAATTTCAATGGAGAAGTTCAAGTAATCTCCCTCTCCCTCTACCTCGTACGGGGTATCTATTAGATGAGATCACTTGAAGATTAAGGTTTGATATACACATGCTTTATGATCTACGGAGTTAGGAGCACCAAGGTCTTGTGTCTCGGGCCGGGGACGTGCAATAATGTATCCGGCCACCTCTTTGGCTACCTGCTGGCTATCCCGAAAGGAATTTAAAGGTGCATGATAGAGACACGGTTTCGGCATTCGGGTTAATAAGGTCATAGTGAATATCCATGACACTCGTAATTGGAGATGGAAATCCCGCCGGACAATTACGGTATGGTAGACGATGAGACGGTTCTTTGAGACATGATAGACTAATCCAAAACAACCCTATAGATCTACAACAAACACGGTGGACGACCAAGAAGAGGATGACACACATAGTAGGTTTTCATCCAATTTGGTCCTGCTCGCACATCATCCCGTTCCCAAATTCCTTTTTGATAGTTTCATTTGTGCTCCATTAGATTGATCCAGAGCATCTTTGTTTGGAATTTTGATACACAATCATTTTCTAGAGCTGCAATTTTGCGGTGGTGGAGTCATGCCTCTCGATCAACTCAGTCGGCCAACTAAATGCCGCTCCTCCCGAAGAAGTAACTTCTCGTCTATCCCATTTCTCTATTATTCTTTTTATATCTTTATGACTTATTTTAGACCTTTTGTTTAGTTTCCTAGAAGGTTAGAAATTTAAGAAATGCAATTGAGAAAATCAATTGAAAACGTCTACCTGTCTTATTAGTCTTAGGATTTTCAGATTTCCATCTCTTCTCTCGTTTGGTTGTTGGGAAAATGGAGAGGATGAGGAAACATCTCTGTAAATTTACGTCTTTCAAGTGTGTCTATGTCATGGCTACACCGTGTCGTTACACGACATCGGACGAGACCCTCCAAAAAAATTAAAGTCCGAGCGTTAATTATTTACAAAATTATTTACGAGTTTTGGAGTCGCCACCTAGTATTTAAGGAACTAGGAACCTAAAAGTAGCACTCGGTTTAGAGATTCCTAATGTAAGGAGTTAGTTATGTTTTTAGAAAGATGTTTAATCACCTAAAAGCGCCTTTTTCAAAAAAAGGTACCATGTATGGTTTAGTTCTAAATTCATCTCCTAAAATTTCATGTCAAACTATTTTCTAATTTTAAACTCTTTTTTTTTAAAAAAGAATTTTTAGTTTGGGCATGGCATCATATTGAAACGATCGTTGATCCCCTTCGTCGAGCGACACGTCGATTCAAACATTGGATCCACTAAAAACCTTGACACAACCAACGTGACGGAGGACGTCTTAATTGAAAGGTAATTTTTGGTGACATCGGTCCCTATCAAGTAGGAGACTTCATCGAAAATCTTGAATATTCTTTTTGGTGACGTCATTCCCTATTAAGTAGGAGACTTCGTCAATTTATTTATTTACTATTATGTTTTTTTTTTGGTGGCGTCAATCCCTACCAAGTAGGAGGCTTCGCCAAAATTTTTAAGCATTTTTTTATGACGTCGGTCCCTATCAAATAGGAGACTTCATCAAGTTTTTTTATTTTTCTAGCAATACATATTAAAGAAAAAAAAAATTAAAATAACAATTCTAAAATAATATTAAAAAAATGACAAGGAATAAAAATAAACAGGAAAAAAAAATGAATAAGAAAAGAAAAAGATAAAAAAATAAAAAAAATCATCCTATACCTAAGCCATTAGCCCACAACTTTTATTCTCTCTTTTTTTTTACCCATGCCTTTTTTTTCCCTTTTTCCTTCTTATTTTTTTTCCTTTTACTTATTTTTTTCCTTCCCTAATTCTATTTTTATTTCTTTATTACCCCTCTTTTTTTTTTCGGGTTTTTGAAAGGTGGGCTACGGGCTGGACCTCATTTTTTTTTTTGGGATAAAGGGTCTTGGTCAGGTCGAAATCGATCCGGCCCATGCGTATTTTCTTTTCTTTTCTTAACTTGCCGGGCTTAAGCCTAAAAACGAACCGAGTAAGGAAATTTAAGTGAAAATGGATCGGATGGCTTCCCAACCCTCTCTCTCTCTTGTTCTTAGTTCATCTTCAATTTCTCTCTCTAGTTCTTCAAGCTTTCCGAAATTAAAGACTCCCTTTCAAGCAACAAATTCAACCATACACACCACAATTTAAGGTAGGAAACAAATAGCAAGCAAACATCTAGAATTAAAGCGAACTACGAAATCAAAAGCTGGGAATCGAATCCGAGAGTCGACTTGGAAAATGTGCAAAGAACACCAAGATCGAACCTAGAAAACTCAAAAAAACCTAGAAACGCGAGCACCAAGAATGCTAGTTTCTCACAAATTTCTTGAAATCTTACTCTCGATTTCCTTTCCTCCACCCTAACGAACCAAAATCTTTCTTGAATCAAGGTTAAGGATGCTTCAAATTGGCTCGGGGTTGAAGAACACAAACCCGGAAATATGAACCTTCAACCCAAAACCCGGAAAACTTGATCGCTAACAAAATCGAAGATCAACCTTTTGTTTTTTTTTTTTTTTTGCTTGGATTTCCTATCTCTCAACCTGAATTCCTTCCTAATTTTTCCTCTCCCTTTTTTTTGTGAAATTCTAAACGTTTTATAACGAGAAAATTTCCTAAAATTTCTTTTAGAATCGAATCTCAAATCTTGAATTTTTTTATCAAAATTTTTCCTCTTTAATTCATGATTAATGTGAAATCAAAACAGAAAATTTTGGTCATTGCTTCTTGTTAGTGTTGATTTTGGCAATGAATCCACGATTAATGCACAATCAAAAACAAGAAATTCGTGGAGGATTTGGGCGAGTTTCTCCTAAAGATTTTTGGAGAGAATTTGCATTGGAGCGAACGACATGTCATCTTCTCCATTTCGGTCTTGTCGTTTGCTCCGGACTTCCGGTTTGGTCCTCGCGTTTCAATTTCAGCAATTACGCCCTCTGCGGAATAATTTCAGTCTTTATGAGGTGCAATCTTATCAATTGGATCCCTGTAAAAAGCAATTTAGGTTCTAAATTTTTTCAATTGGTTCAATTATACCTCTAATTACTTCAATTGTGTCCCTAAATGGAAATTTTTGTATTTTCCTTTTTTTCTTCTTCTTCTTCTTTTTTTATAGTAAACTTCAAATTAAATAAAAACAAAAATAAAAATAAAAATAAAAATAAAAAAAATAAAAAAATAAAAAATAAAAAACAAAAAAAGGGTAAATTTTGAGTTATTACACACTTGGAAGTTATAACTAGGTTTTTAAATCGACTACCAATGCAAGAGATAATATACATATTTATAGTATGGGCAACTAGGTATATTGAAAACTCTACAAACTTATACACCTGAACCAATATACATAACCCAATACATTGTAGCCCAAATATAGCGAGATTGTCGTGGTAACTCTGCGTATAACATTCTAAATTGCTGAACACAATTTAACAGTGTTAGTTTCTAATGAAGGTGTGGAACACGTGGGAGGAGATATGTTTGAAAGTGTTCCAAAAGGAGATGCCATTTTTATGAAGGTACCAAAATTCTGGCGGCATATAATCTTGTTGCTCGATTTTATACACCAAAATCACTAATGACGACTAGTTAATTAAGGATACTTTTGCAGTGGATACTTCATGATTGGAGTGATGATCACTGCTTGAAGTTGTTGAAGAACTGCTATGAAGCTATTCCAGATGATTGGAAGGTGATTGTTATGGAATCAGTTCTTTCAATCACGGCCCGGACAAGTCATGCTGCGAAAGCGACCTCGCAACTTGATTTACTGATGATGACTCACAGCCCAGGAGGGAAAGAACGGACTATTGCTTATAAATTGCATTTGAAATTGGAGAATGTATCGTCAGTTTCTATCAGACTTGAAGCTTTCATTGCCGCGCTTGTGGATCGAAATTTATGAACTAATTAAATGAAATAGTTGTTCATCAGCCTTTTGCATTCCCCAAGTAGCAGTTCGATGAGAAGCTACATGCTTTACTAATGCATATTGTATTTTTGTTGCAACAATGCATTCTTAACCTTGTACCAACATAAATAATACTCCTATTAATGATGTTAGTTCTTATCTGGTAGAGTTATTGCATAAATATATCACAGTAGATTCATAGATTCATAGATTTAAACAGCTGTTATATAATAGTTTTAGAGTATTCAGTTTTGTACTGTTATTCGATGTTATATAACGACATTGATCATTATTTTATTATTATTGTAAGTTGTGATTCACGATCATGACCATCAACCGTCTTCCCGATTCAAAACTATGAGTAGATTCAATCTCAAACTCTATCAGTTTCCTTTGTTTAGCTGATAAGATTAACTGCTTTGTACAACCAAATATCATTTTACCAACATATAAATACAATATTATAATTAATGAATAAATAACACCATGTTTTATAATCTCTGGTCTTTTATATACCCTTGAAAGACTACCTCGTTAAGTAACGTTTGTCTTTACATCAATTGTTTGTAATAAATGTCCATATTTTCCTCTGTATCTATCAAGTTTAAGGAACTAATCTAAAAATTAATATTTGAGACTGTGGTCTAACAAAAAAGTTACTGTAATATACAAAATTATATCTTTTTTACCAATTTTTTCTACGAATTTTATCAAAGTCCTAAAGTACAATAATTCTAGATCAACATTATTCTACCAATAAATCTGTTGGTCTTCTTATGTTAAAACAAAACGATAAAAAAAGCACAGGACAAATGTCTGCTCCTGGTTCCTCGCCGTCCCGACAGACAGTCATCATTTCTGTCTTTTACTTCTGCTATTCAATTGGGGACTAATTAATTAATTAGTCTCTTGGATTATAATTAATTTAATATTATATTATTTATCGTTTTTTTTTCTAATATATAAAAAAATAAAAAATATTAAATTATAAATAGATTTAAAAATATAAAAATTAATTAATTAGTTTTTAAAATTTGAAAGGCTATTTAATTTGTTTATTTTCCAAACCTAGGTAGACTAATTTATAATTTACTCTAATATCTGTAGCTTGTCACAGTATGTATGCATAGACATCAGTGGATGAATTTGGACGGTTTCCAATAGATAAAAGCCTATGCTTCTCTTTGCAGCAACGTAAGCCTTTTAGCATGCCATTTTTAGCATCTGGAATAGCTTCGTAGCAGTTCTTCAATAGAAGTGGTGATGGTTTTCTAATGCAGGTGTTGAATACTGGGAGGAGATATGTTTGAAAGTGTTCCAAAAGGCGATGCCATTTTTATGATGGTACCACAATTCTGTCGGCATATAATCTTCTTGCTTAGTTTTATACACCAAAATCACTAATGACGACTAGTTAATTACGGATATTTTTGTAGTGGATACTTCATGATTGGAGTGATGATCACTGCTTGAAGTTGTTGAAGAACTTCTACGAAGCTATTCCAGATGATGGGAAGGTGATTGTTAATTATGGAATCAGCTGTTCTTTAATCACGGCCAAGACAAGCCCTGCTGCGAAGGCGACCTCGCAACTTGATGTACCGATGATGATTCAAAACCCTGGAGGGAAAGAACGGACTGAACATGAATTCATGGCCTTGGCCACTGGAGCTGGATTCCGTGGTATCAAGTATGAAACCTTTGTTTGTAATTTTTGGGCAATGGAGTTCTTCAAGTAGACTATTGCTTACACATTGCTTTTATGGAAATTGGGGAATGTATCCTCAGTTTCTATCAGACTTGAAGCTTGCATTGCCCCGCTTGTGGATCGAAATTTATGAACTAATTAAATAATATTTACGTGATTTAAGTCAGTCGTAATTTTGTTATTTTAAACGTTTTTTTTAACACTGTACACCACCATTGGTACTGTACATTTTTTTTTTTTTGGGTAATTTTGAGGATTTTTTTAGGTATTTTGTATTTAAATTTTTACTCATGTTGTTCTTTCATAGATTTTATTGAGGTTTGTCGTAGGATAACTATATTTGCCTTGCAATCTAGTTCTTGTCTGCTAAAAGGAAAGAGAAACAAAAAGACAGAAGAGAGGACATATGAGAAAGAAATCTATGTATGAATTTTATAATGAATTTTTAAAATATAACTATTAATTTTTTATAAAAAAATTAATATAATTTATATGATGGATTATTTTTTGAATATATATATATATATATATATATATATATATATATATATATATTTTGTAATCTCAATAAAATCGAATATTTGCTATATTCTTGTTTATTTTACTTCTGTATAAAAAATTTGTGCGCAAAGACCTTGAGCATTGGTTATCGTTCAATGGCAAGAGATACGAAGCCATTATCCACATCACTTTTCGCGTGAATTAAGGATCCATGAAAGACTCTGCCTTAATCTTCATAACCAGTTAGATCGCACAGTAGGACCACTTTGTTCAAAATAAAGAAAACATGAGTCAACTTACAAGACTCGAGGACTATCAGCACATGCACTTAGTTCTACCTGCTTTTCTTTGTCCTATTTATAATGACTATAAAAAAAAAACAAAAAAACAAAAAAGTCTTGTTCACGTTGCTTCTTGTTGTTTGTTTTATTATTCTCACTCATTTATTTTTCTGGTGCATACAGCACTCTCTCTCTCTCTCTCTCTACTATTTATATTAGTTGGAGAGACCAAAAATTATGCAACATTAAATGTAGTCCAACCAAAACATGAACCAAATTTCCACATTTAGATTTTACTAGCATATATACTGTGCATTGCTACTGGATGAGTTATGCATCATTCTTATGTATTCGTTAATATAAAATTTAAAATTTAAAAATAATTATTTAAAAGGATCATATGAAAAAAAAAAAATCAAAATATATATCTCATACATTGATACAGAGTTAGTCAAACAAAAAAGTCTACAAAGTTGAGCAATATAATGTTGCTAATTAGATATTGTTTGCTATAAACATGTGTTTAATTAGAAATATATATAATAACCGATAATTAAAATAATGATGTGGTAGTTTTTTGAATTTTGAATGATTAATTTTTACGATATATTCTTCATTTGTAATTTGTTAAAGAGATAGAGAGAGGCCACCCAAAGCAAAAAGACAAAAAAGCTTTGTCAAATCGAGAATTTGACAAAAACAATAGAGATAAAATTACATATGATAAAAATTAAATATCAAAATAAAGTAAAGATAATAAAAGAATGAATAAAATAAATAAATAAAACTTTCACTAAAAGCCAAAAAAAAAAAAAAAAAAAACTTATAAACAATAAGACTAAAAAAAATCATTATGCATAGTTCAATTACACCCTAATTGACTTTCAATTTCGTTCAATTACACCCCTATTTCGTTCAATTTTGTCTCTAATTGACTTTCAAATTTAAATCTAGCATTTTTTAATTTCAATCTTTATCCCTTTCAATTATGCTCCTTAATTAACTATTTTATTAAAAAGCCTTTTATTATTGTGTTAATATTTTCTTTTTTTATTACTATTTTTTCTCTCTCTCTCTCTCTCTCTCTCTCTCTCTTTTGTAATAATAAATACAAAAATTAACCCAAAACTATTTTTGATATTTTTTATCCCTTTTTTGTAATAATAAATTCTAAAATTAAACATAAAATATGTCATACCCTAAAATTTTACCTTTGTGTATTATTTTTGTGTTCTTTATTTTATTTTCATTATTTAAATTTAGGCTTGCTTTGTATAAAATCAAGACAATATATATATATATATATATATATATAATTTTTCTTTTATTTATTTATTTATAATTTAGAACCAAATTACAAAAAATAAAATAAAATACAAAAATACAAAACAAAACAAAAAATTTTCAACTTGCAGTGCCTAACTCCTCTCAAGTCAACAATTTCAACACCCCTCTACCTATCGGCCACCCTACTACCGCAAATTCCAGCAGTTGCATCACCATATAACCTCCACGAGTGCCTCCAAGCGACCTCACTGCTTCGACCACACAACTCCCACGAGTCCCTCCGGACAACTTCCCTCATATCTAGCAATCTCCAAGGTAATCCCCCAATTCCCGCAACCTCACCATGCTCGCAAATTGCAGCAATCGCACTACCTTCCCCTTACCAGCCCTCGCCATAGCCATCCCTTAGGACCAAAAAATGGTCGGACACGCCCACTCCGGAAAACCCGCAGAAAATCCCCCACCATCATAGTGGGGGAACCAACCAAGCCAAATTCACATATATATACATACACACACAATAACAAAAAAGAAAAAAAGAGGGGAGGGGGATTTTTTTTCTTTAGTCCGATATCCAAGAACAAATTAATTAAGAGTGAAGCTCGCAAAATTAGGAGAGAGTTAGCGATTGAAAAAAAAAAAAGGGAAATCGACGAGTAAAGAGAAAGAGAGAAAATCCGAAACAAAAAAAAGAAATTAAATTTACTCGAATTGAAGGCGAGTCCACATCCATTCCAACCAATTCTTTTAGGTAATCCCTCTAATTTCTCTTTAATTTCGTTTTTTGTTTCAATTTAAGTCCGATTTAAAGTTTGGGATTTTTTCGAAATTGTAAAAATTTGAAGAATAGATTTAGGGGTTTTGATAAAATTGAGTCCTAAAGGGTGTGAATTAACTTGATTTCAATCTAATCAAGGCAATATCGCATGAAAATTTAAAGAATTGAAAAATTAGGGTTCGGTCATAATTGGAGAGAATTTTTAGAAATTGATTTGGGGGTTTTTGTTTGAGCAAGGGAAAGAAGGAAAGAAAGGGGAGAAGAAAGAAAGAAAAGGGAAAATCAGGCTGCCATGGACGAACCTCCATCGATTCGTCCATGGCAGCAGCTAACGTGTTACAAAAAAAAAAAAGAGAGACGGGAAAGGGAGAGAAAGGAGAAAGGAAAGGAAAAGAAAGAAGAGAGGGGTGCGGGAAAGGAGGAAGAGAAGAAAACGAAAGAAAACGAAAAAAAAGGGACGAACCTGGTTCGTCCATGGCGATCGGGTAGAGAGAAGGGAAGTAGAAGAAGAAGAAGAAGAAGAAAGAGAAACGGGAAAGAGAGAGGAGAAAAGGGAAATTGAAAAAAAAAAAAAGAAAAAAGGGGCTTTTGATCTTAAGTTATGCTGAAATGGGTTTTGGGTTTTTTTTTGTTTTAAATGGTGTGGGTTGGGCTTGGCCCAACCCACGGGTTAATGGGCTAGGCTAAAATTTCAGTCCGATCCGCAAATAAAAAAAGAAGAGAAATTCGGGCTGGACAGCCCAAACCCAAAAAAAAAAAAAAAAAAAAAAGAAAAAAAAAGAAAAAAAAAAGAAAAAAAAGACTGAATTTTTTTATAGGAATTTTGTTATTTCGTATTAAAATTAGCTATTGAATTGTTTTTATTATTTTAATTAATGTAGTTTTTAATCTGGAATTTCTTTTATGTATGCCTGTTACTAATTTAAATTTCGGTATTTGATTTCTTTTATTTAATTCATGTAGCTTTAATTTATTTGTTTAGTAATTAGGTTCGAGTAAGTAATAAGTAGAAGATTGTCAAGTCTCCTAAGTTTTAGGGATTGATGATAACCCTTCTTAAAAAAAAAAAAAGTGAATTTTTTTTATAGGGATTTCTTTATTTCATATTAAAATTAGCTATTGAATTGGTTTTATTATTTTAATTAATGTAATTTTTAATCTAGAATTCATTTTATGTATGCATGTTACTAATTTAAATTTCAGTATTTGATTTCTTTTATTTAATTCATGTAGCTTTAATTTATTTTTTAGTAATTAGGTTCAATAAGTAATAAGTAGAAGATTGTCAAGTCTCCTAAGTTTTAGGGGCCGATGATAACCCTTCTTAAAAAGAAATAAATAAAATAAAATAAAATAAATATAATAATAAAATAAAAGAAAGAAAAATAACAAAAAAAAATCATAAAACCTTTTAACAAAGTCTCATATCCGATAGGGACCGTTGTTAGTCCAAAAAAAAATAAAGAAAAAGAAAAGTTTTTCTAATAAACAAGTGTTCTCCGGCATACCGGTTGTGTCGAGACTAAAAAGTGGATCCGATGTTTGAACCGACGTGTCTCCCGACGGAAGGGGTCCGACGATCGTTTCAATACGATGCCACGCTCCAAAATAAAAAACTTAATTTGACTTGAAAAATTGGAGTCTCAAAAATTGAAAAATAATTTGGCAAAAATAAAATTTTTTTGGAGATAATTTAGGACTAAGCTAGATGTGGTACCTTTTTTAGTAAAGGGCACTTTTGGGTGATTAATTATCTTTCCATAAGCGTAACCGACTCCTTACCATAGAATCTCCGAACCGAGTGCCAATTTTAGGTTCCTAGTTCCTTCAATACTAGGTGGCGACCCCAAACTCGCAAATAGTTTTATAAATAAAATAAAGATCCGAAACTAGTGATACCATCGGGGATCGAGTTTTTTCTATGGGAGTCCCGTCCAACGTCGGATAGCGACAAAATAAATCATAAAAACTAAAAATATATGATAAATAAAACCAAAGAAATAAAATTAGAGAAATAAATATAACCTAAAATTTGGGTTATGACACTAGATGTAAACGCAATCATCCTAACGTGCGCTAGATGTAAAACTAATAAATATAGTATGGGCTAAATATGAATACATTCAATGGTGAAAAAGCACACAATTGTTTAGTCAACAATTAGGACTTGTTTGAGTCACGTAT